TGTGAGATCATGACCTGAGTCAAAATCAAGAGTTGGACGCTTAACTGACTGAGCTACTCAGGAGCTCCTTTAAAAATAATGTATTTTTAAAGGTATGGCTTAGTTCCTCCTGAGGGAAGTTTCCTCTTAGTGTGTAGAATTCCTACTCTGCTGGTTGATGCCAGCTTCCCTGACATGGAATAGTAGACTAAAAGGAACTTGCATGTAGTGTTTTGTTCTTTGTTAGAAATTAAGTATAAATTCTATTAGGATCTACTTCTGGAATGATACTATTAGGAGTTCTGCAGATCTGCTCCTCAGCAAAACAACAATCATTGATAACAAATTTTTAAGGAAATCAATTAAAATATCTGGAAATTGCCCTAAAGGCATACAGCAAATGAAGAAACATTTATTCAGGAAAATGTAGTAAACCACAGTAATAACAGCAAGAGTTTGTGGCACTTGAGCTGTTGCCTTCTTTTCCCTGCTTAGGTCAGCGTGACAGAAGCCATACCTTTGGCTGGATGTGGCCAAGAAGGTGTGGCTTCCTCTCCCCTGGGTTTCCATCAAGGGCTCTAACATCTCCCTGAGAGGGACAGCTGCCAGCATTTCTCATTCCCCTCGAGCTTCATGTTGCAGAGGCTAAATTCCAGGCAAGTACAACCAGCCTCTACATGTAGGGTGGAGGCTCTTCACCAAGCTGAGAATCCTGAGGCCCCGATTGGCCCCTGATACCCCAGTTTACTTGTAGGGCAGAGGCTCAATTCCAGAAGAGTCAAGCCTAGAAGATCAAGAGCTACTGCCCCCACCCAGCACTCTGTTCATAAAACAAGGGTGCCACTCTGAGAGAAGTGGGCCACTGTCCTTGACCCCAGCTCCAGGGCAGTGGCTCAGAGGTTTTGCCAAGGAGGGGAAGAGGTAGAAGCTCTTCCATAAGAAGAGAAAGCTCTGAGGCTCTCCCCAAAGGTGCTGAATTTATTTACAGTGGAGTATGGGGAAGTTCAGACCTAATGATACACTCAAAAACAGGGATTTTGGTGGTAAGCCAGTAACGAGGCTGGTAGGTCCCTGAGAGCAAGAGTTGAAACTTTAGGCAAGAGACCACCAGGGAAAGAGACAACTAGGAAGAACCCTCCTGGGGTCAGAACAGACCTCAAACACACACATCAAAAACTACCCCTTCAAAAAGGCCTGCATTTAACTGGATCAGGCTGTGTAACAAGTGACGTCCCAGATCATCGTCAAAAACAGAACATTCCAAACCTGCAATTCATGGAGGCTAACAGCTGGGTGTGATAACATCAGAGGCAGGCAGCCTGAAAGCGGGCAGGGAAGAGGAGAACCCTAATAAAACCATTGTCCTCCCAGGGAGACTGTGCCCCCTGAGGAACACCATTGGAAGCCGAGTTCTGTGGGGAAGAGGGGGCAGGGACGAACTTCACTAGAGGAGTCCAGCCAACTCACTGGAAGAATAAATAGAAACAAGCCCCAGGGAGGAGAGGATCACCATTCAGAGATCTACAGTGTATTTAAAAGGTCCAGCTTTCAACAAATAAAGATAAGACGTGCAAAGAAATAGGACTTTGAGATGAGATTTTTAAAAAGTGAAGAAACTGTGTGGGAGAGGGCTGAGATGCTGGGTTTATTAGACCAAGACTTCTTATCAGCCATGATAAATGTATTCAGAGAACTGGAGGAGCATGCTTAATGCAGTAAAGACCTGATATGATGACAGCATCTGACCAATTAGGGAATAAGTCAGTAAAGAGATAGAAAATATAAAAGTGAACCTAATGGTTAGGGTGTCTGGCTGGCTCAGTCGGTAGGGCATCTGATTCTTGATTCAGGGTCATGAATTCAAGCCCCATGTTGGGCATGGAGCCTACTTAAAACAACAACAACAAAACAAAAAACCCAAACCAAATGGAAATTCTGGAGTCGAACAGTAAAGTAACTCGTGTGAAGAATTCACTGGAAGGGCACAGCACTAGATATTAACTAGCAGATGATAGAACTAATAAGCTTAAAGATAGGGTGATAGATTATGCATTTCAAGTGACAGAGGAAAAATAAAACAAACAGAGCCTCAGAGAAATTTAGGATATCATTAAACACACCAATATCCATATAATACAAATAGCAGAAGGTGAGGAGAAAGGAACAGAAGAAAAAAGAAATAATGGCTGAAAACCTCCCAAATTTGATGGAAAACAATCTACACATTTAAGGAGCACAATAAACTCCAATAGTAGAAATACAAAGAAATCCACACCTAGGCACGTCATAGTAAAAAATGTAGCTGGAAAGCAGCAAGAGAAAAATGACTCATATTGTACCAATGAATCCCAGTAATATTAGCCACTGACCTCTCATAGAAACAGTGGACGTGGGATAGAGAAGACAGTGGGATGGCTTATTCAAAGTCCTGAAAGGAAAATAACCCACCAACCAAGGGTCTTATATCCAGCAAAACTCCCTCTCAGCATTGAAGGTGGAAGAAAGAGATTCTAAAATTAAAATAAAAACAAAAACAATTTGTCGTCAGCAGACCTGCCTTACAGGATATTTAGGGAAAGTTGTTGTTGAAAGCAAATGACCACAGATGACTATTCAAATCCATACGAGGACGGGCGCCTGAGTGGCTCTGTCAGTTAAGCGTCCTACTTCAGCTCAGATCATGATCTCACGGTTTGTGGGTTCGAGCCCCGAGTCGAACTCTGTGCTGACAGCTAGCTCAGAGCCTGGGGCCTGTTTTGGATTCTGTGTCTCCCTCTTCCTCTGACCCTGCGCGCGCTCTCTCTCTCTCTCTCTCTCTCTCAGAAATAAATGAAACATTAAAAAAAAAAAAATCCATATGAGGAAACCAAGAATGCCAGCAGTGTAGGTTATCATATAGTTATAAAAGGCAGTGTAAATGTGTATTTCTCCCCCTTTCTTCTTTGAACTGACTTAAAAAGCAATTTTATTAAATGATATGCATATGGTTATATTGTTGGGCCAATAACATTTAGAAACGTAATGTATTTGGCAATAACAGCATAAAGGAGGTAATGGAAGCAAAGCCTTCCTGGGGGAGGGGAATTATACTGCATTAGGTAACTTGAATCCATAGGACAGAATGAAGAGAACCAGAAATAGTAAATAAGTAATAGAAATAGATCTGTAAATGTATACCTGCTTTTCTTCATGTTTTTCTTCTTTAAAAACATGAAGCTATGTAAAGAAATAGTAACGGTATTATTTTTGGGTTTCTAGTATATATAGATATATGTGTAGGAATAGTTGAACAAAGGGAATAGAACTATACAGGCAGAATGTTTCTATGTCTCCCTGGAATTATGTGGATAAAGTAATTAAAGGTTACACTAGAAAATATTATCACTTGATGCAAAGGAGAGCAGTAAATGAGGAAGAGAGGAACAAAAAAGACAGAGATGTCTATTTTTTTACCCACCTTCAGATGGTTTTTATTATACAGTTTATTAAACTAAACATTCGAGTGTGACTTTCTTTAATTCTGTGTGAGAAGCAATGTTATTGGTCCTCTCTGGATAGAGCCCTCATCTGGCTCTGATTCATTCTGGGTCTTTTGTCGAAGGTGTATTTTAAATGTCATGTTCAGAGCATGTACAGTCCTGACCTGGAGATTGTAAAGATGGAGTGAGGGAGAAGCTTGGGGCCTGGAGTTTACAGTCAGGGATTGGTGTGTCCTGGTTCTGGTACTGTCCGAGTTGTAACATTGACTGGTCACTTTTCCATCTCTGACAGTGGACATCAAATGTTAAAAGGTCACCCTGAGCACTTAGTGAGATAATGACTGGTGTGTGCTTGACCACAGGCTCCCCCAGCGCCATCGCAGCAGGTCAGATGGGGGGAGAGAGGGGATTCAGTAAGAGGGCAGTGTACCCTGTGCAAGCAGAAAGGTGGGGATTGCTTTGCCACCTCTCATCCTTGACCTCTTACTGGCAGCATCCACCAACCCACATGCTGGACGTGGGCATTGCATTAGATTACAGGACGCCTGGTACAATCTGTAAGGTGTGTTGTTACGGACTAAACTGTCCCTCCCTGCCGTTCATATGTTGAAGTCCTGACCCCCAATATGACTGTATTTGGACATAGTCTCTCTAAAGGGGCAGTTAAGGTTAAATGAGGTCATAAGGGCAGGGCCCTAATCCAATACAACTGGTATTCCTAGAAGAAGGGACAGCAGGGAGGGGCTCACAGATTAAAGGCCTTGTGGGGACACAGCAAGAGGGTGGCCATCTGCATACCATGGAGAGAGGCCTCAGGAGGAACCTACCTGCTAGCCTCTTAATTTTGGACTTCCAGTCTCCAGAACTGTGAGAACATAGATGTCTGTTGTTTAAGCTGCCCAGACTGTGGTGTTTTGTCATGGCAGCTGGAACAGACTCATGAACCTATTAATTGTTCTTTCTTGATACAGACAGCCTGACTGCTGCGTCCTGCCCCACTGAGGAACTGGGAAAGCAGCCCCACTCAAAATTGCAAACGTGTAGGCATGTAAGATCATTACAAACAAGAAGGCAGTTTTGGAGTTGTTTTCTCTCTGTCCTCCCTCCTTCGGACCTGTTTAATGACCACCTGGTGACAGAAGCCATCTGAGTGGTGGTGGCATGCTGCCGGAAGGAGGCTGAGGGTCTGGTTTGTGTGCACAGTGATATGGCCATTCTCCCAGAAATGCCAGGTTTGGATTAGATTGTGATCCCTTCCCTGTTCCCCCCCCCTAAAACCATGGTGGTGGATAATCACATCGGTATTTTTAGAACTGCTTTGCAGTTTCTCTGTGCAAACCTTTCCCTGGGCACATGGTTTAATCCTCTCATCCAGCCTTGTTTAAGATCTACAGAGTGCTATATTTATTTGACTTTATTTGAAATTTCCAGGCTTTTCAGAATGTTGCTCCAAGAAGTCTGATGCCTACAGAACTCTAAAACTTATGCCTTAAAAGGCTTAGCTTCTGATATGTTTGTAGGCATTCTTTTTACAAAAAAAAAAAAAATAGGGAACACTTCATGACTTTGCATGGCATCCTTGTACAGGGGGTGTGCTGATCTTCTTGTGGCGTTCCAATTTTAGTACATGTATTGCTGAAGAGGGCACTGTTGGTATATGATTTATTTTTCCCTTTTTTTCCTAGACCATCTAGGACAGGGTAGCTAACCTTCTCCTCCCAACTTCCCCCTGAATTAGTGTCAGGAAGTCTTTTTTTTTTATGCTTTGTTCTTTAGAACAGTTTTAGCTTCATAGCAAAGTTGAAAAGAAAGTACAGACCATGCTCATATAACCCCCTGTCTCCACACAGTTTTTTAATTGTGCCCTTGTGTTCTTCCAAGGACAGTAGGGGAAGAGTCTCCTTTCTAGAGAAGCAGGAGGTTTTTCGGCTAAGCTGATGACTATCAGGGGCCAGGTGGAGGTTGAAGGAGACATCTGCCTGCCTCAGTCTTTGGCCTGAATGGGTCTGGCACCCAGCAGAGCATCACGGGGTCTCCTGCGGGCCCCATGGTGTCACAAGACATGCACTCAGCAGGCCCAGATCTAATCCATTGAGGATGCCTCAGTACTGCTCACCAGCTCAGGCTGTATCATTCTCCAGAGGGAATGTGTGTCATTTAAAGATTTAAATTCTGACTGCTGCCTTTTCAAAGCATTTTTTTTTTTTTTGCCTTTGTATCTCATTTGACCCTTACCCAGTCTTTGTGTCACTGAAATTTTACTTAGTACCTTGTAGTCTACAAAGTCTTCACACACACACTTTCTTAATCAAGATTTGCAACAAACCACTAAGGTGGGGCTGTCTCCCCAGCTTAATGACAGAGGACACAGGCTTAGAGTCAAGCCTTCCCACACAGCAAAAAAGCTGGTTGGTGGTGGGGATGGAGATGGGATGCCATATTCCATTCACTCTGCTCCAGGCCCAGTGTCCTGAAGGGGACATGTCTGCCCCTGGAGATGGATGCAAACTTCATATCTGAATAGTTAAATGTGTTATATATACCTATATATATGTAACTTAAATATTTAAGGGTGCCTGGGTGGCTCAGTCGGTTAAGCGTCCGACTTGAGCTCAGGTCATGATTTCACGGTTCGTGAGTTTGAGGCCCACGTCGGGCTCTTTGTTGATAGCTCAGAGCCTGGAGCCTGCTTCAGATTATGTGTCTCCCTCTCTCTCTGTCCCTCCCTCACTTGTGCTCTTTCTCTGTCAAAAATAAATAAAAAGATTAAAAAATTTTTAACTTTAATATTTAAATATTAGTGTTAGTAATATTAAGTACTTAAATTTTTAATTAGTTAATATTTAAACAGTTAAATTTGTTATATATGTGTAACAATAACATTAGTTCAAATATTACATGCAGTAAATTAAGTTAAACAGTTTATTTAAGGAAAAACCTTTGCACACCAAGTATAAGTGATTCTGTGCTGGTTCAATTCTTTTTTTTTTTTTTTTTTTTTAATTTTTTAATGTTTTATTTATTTCTGAGAGAGAGAGAGACAGCATAAGAAGGGGAGGGTTAGAGAGAGAGGGAGACACAGAATCCGAAACAGTTTCCAGTCTCTGAGCTAGCTGCCAGCACAGAGCCCGATGCGGGGCTTGAACCCACAAACCGTGAGATCCTGACCTGAGCCAAAGTCGGAAGCTTAACTGACTAAGCCACCCAGGCACCCTGTGCTGGTTCTATTCTTTGCACACAATAGAAGTCATGACCTCCGTGTGCCTGCCATTTGGGAAGTACTACAGTATCTGTGCTAACTCTGAGATGACCCGAGTGGAAAGCAGAGTCTTGCTGTCTGTCCCCAGAGAGGGGGAAGAATGATTCTCTGTGACTGAGGCAGGCTTTGTTGTGAGGAGCAAGTGACAGAGCAGAATAAACACAACTCAGACCACACAACTCTGTCCGTGTAGGAAAGTAGACTGGGGGTAAGTTGTGGGGAGGAAGGGCCACATCCAGCAGTGGGACACCAAAGTGCCCAGAGTCTGTGATCCTGAGACCCAATAGCTGAATTAAAACTCAAAGTAGGCAAGAGCCCAGGGGCTGTGATTCTTTTTTTTTAATGTTTATTTTTGAGAGAGAGAGAGAGAGACAGAGACAGAGAGAGAGAGAGAGAGAGAGAGAGAGAGGAGTGAGTGGGGGAGGGGTAGAGCGAGAGGGAGACACAGAATCTGAAGCAGGCTCCAGGTTCTAAGCTGTCAGCACAGAGTTTGACGTGGGGCTTGAACTCACGAACCGTGAGATCATGACTTGAGCTGAAGTTGGATGTTTAACTGACTGAGCCACCCAGGCGCCCAAGGGCTCTGATTCTACATCAGTTGTGTTTCAGTGACATTTCTTTGCTCCTTGTTTGTAGCTGATAAATATGCAGATGCATCAGACACTGCTTAGCTGAGCAGTGCTGGGAGAGCTCTGGCCCGATGCAGGGTGTGTCTGAAGTGATACAAGATTTCAGTTGTTTTCTTATATCAGTGCCTGCACAGTATTCTGGGGGGGGGGGGGGGGGGGAAGATATGTTCACATCTGCCTGACTGGTGTGCATCTGGCCGCTTTAAGAGCCTAGTCCTCATTGAACCCTAGTGATGGGGCTAGTTAACTGGAAGTGTTAGGTGGTACCTCTCTGGAGTTGGCTGAGTTTTCTAGATGAGAAGATTCCATCTGGTGGAGGCCTCCCACCCTGGCTCGCTCTCATCAGTACTCTCTGGCCTCCAGTGAGGGAGACAGGGCCTGAAGCTGGCTGGTAAGGGGGTTTGAAGTGGCTTGGAAGATGTATCTGCTACATGCTAGCTTCCAGTTTATAGTTTTCCTCCATATTTCTTCTGGTGGGAGATAGGAGCAGTTCTAGGCAGTAAATTTTGAAGGCTCATTTTTCCTGATCTCCCTATTACCTAACTGCCAAGAATATTTTTTAAAAAATGTGAAAGCACAAGTAGAGATTTTAATTAGTTTTCGTTGTCACTGCTCTTGGTAATGGTAATTTTAAATATGATATATGACAGGGAGATTATCTCTTGGGGGCCTTTGTTCTCAGTGTGTTGTCTACATTTCAGAACTCAGCTGCAAATTTTGGAGAAAAAAAAATGGCAAAAGTACCTTTTGATGTTTTCCTTATTATTACACAGGTACCCGACTGGTTAGCATTCTCTTTCTAAACAAAAGCACAACCGACTTAGAAATCTCTCTGGCACAAGGTCACAGAAGAAGGGGAGATGTTGCTGGCAACTTTGTTGATCAGTCTCTCGACTGCAGAGCTTAGCGTGAGGTCCCATGGGGCATCCCACTTAAAGGCGACAGTCGTGGCCCTGGTGTAAGGTATTTGCTGATAGACCAGGATTGCTCGGCCTCTGCAGTTATCAAGTGGTGTCAGCTCCTTCTGTGGTTGTTGCTGTCATTGGGTTTTATTTTATTCGCAGAACTGAATTGTGCTTCCTTAGAGCTAGTGAGTGTGTCGGCTTTAGGTTTAATTGTCGTGATGATGCAGTGACCTTGCAGCCCCTTGGAGATCTACCAGGATGGGAGAGTTGTTGTTCAGGTGCCGGTTGTGGGTGTTGCCCATCCGTTCCGTGCACGTGCCATCTTGGCCCTGGTTTGTACAAGTAAGCAAGAGGCTTGTTTTCAGAAGCCCAGGAGAGTTCAAGAAAGTACTGAGATTTTTTCCAGTTGATTTGAACAATTAGAATTCTAGAGAGTTCTTCATGCCTACTAGCTGAAGCCCAGCTCTGTGGTCTAGTATCAGTGGCTCCCTGGAATGGACCCAGTCCTGGCTCTCTGGTCTGTTCTCTCTGTCCCTGAGAATGCTGGGCCTCCCCGATCCCTGAATTAATTTGTTCTTGAGCGTGCTTGTGCCTTTTAAAGTCAGATCTGTCCACACTGTGTCCAGATCATCTTTGGCCAGACTTAACCTCTCTCACAGCCTAGGGCATGCATTTCATTTTGTCTTGTCTGAATGTCTTGCTCCTTTGTTACACTGTTGGCTCTTTGCAGGTAGGGATCACTTCTGACTCACCTGTGTGTCCCCTGTAAGTGCCTGGCTTTGCACCTGTTGAATGAATGAACAACTGCAGTTCCAAATTGCAGACTCCCACGAACACTCCTGTCAGAGGGTGCTGCAGGCCGTCGGAGGGCCAGGCTTGCCAGCTGAGCAGAGAAACACCTCTGTCTTCTCCCCCACTGGTTTCTTCACAGGTGGTTGGGAAGACATGCCATTAGCATGAGGACCCTGAGTGCCAAGAGGCTCCTTTCCCTGCCCAGTGGGGCTCACTCACCTGCTTTGAGCACTGCCTGAAGAAATGCCTGGGTCTCAGGGTCACTGCTTGTGGCTCTCTTTTTAAAATTGCTTTTCTTGGGTTTTCATCATTCCTGCCACCCTCAGCTTGGGAGTAAGTCTGTGACCAGGCTGCCACGGGAGGGTTCTCTTTGCCCTGGTCAGCCAGATACTGCAGACCACACTTTGAGGGGCTACTGATTAGTGGGGGAGCCTGGAACCCCTCTCCACCTCTGTGGACTGGTAGGTAGTCCTGGGGAGGGATCCTGACTTCTCCAGCTTTTGTGATGCCCTTTCCTCCTTGCACAGGCGCATGGGAGAAATATGCGAAAGAAGGGTCTCTCTCTCGCGCTCTCTCTCACTCACTCTCTCTCTCTCAAAATAAACAAAACTTGAGAGAGAGAGAGAGAGCGAGAGAGAGTGAGAGAGAGAGAGAATCCCAAGCAGGCTCCACACTGATTGCAGAGCCTGATGCAGGGCTTGAACCCATGAACTGTGAGGTCATGACCTGAGCCAAAATTGAGTTGGATGCTTAACTGACTGAGCCACCCAGAGGCCTTGAAAGGTCTCTTGATCAAAGAGCTGGTTTCCCTGTCTCAATCCTATCATATCACATCCTCAGAGAAACACACACACACACTCTCTCTCTCTCTGTCTCTCTCAAAAACAACAACACAACAACAACCCCACAACAACCAAGAAAACCCAAAACAACCAAATAAACTCAAGTGGGTGGCCAGCTAAAGCTATAAAACCTTCTCTCCAGAGAAGTCTCATGTAAGAATCAGGACTGCTTGCTTTTTATTTTTGTGTAAAAATAGGGAGCACGGAAGTCTTTTCAGAGT